TCGTGCAAATTTTCTGGAATTTGCACTGATTTCTGTCACTTCCAGGAAGTTATTTGAAGCCCATGGTTAAGAGGTGAGGGTGGTTAGTCCTGAAGAGCGAGATTGTTATTTTTACACTAAAAGTATCAGGGCTTTAAGCAAATTAAGTTTTAAAAGATTGCCTGCAATGTGCTGGACTTGACTTAAGATTTCAGGCAACCCGGTTTTCAAAACTCCAGGTAGAGATACACGTTACTATTTACCGGGCCAGTAAACTGGGTACTAAATACGCCGACAGTGCCTATGCACAGCGGAAGTTATTTCAAAATGCCGGTCCTCCACACTCTTTGGAGTGGAAAAGCTGTTCATGTAAACATGCTCTTCAGACCGTCGCTGTTTAGAAACCCAATCTTCTGGAATAGCAGATGTATAACTCAACAGATGATGAACCATGATAATGAAAAAAAGATGTGTAGAAAGGTAAAGTTGGTTTACAACTGTCGAACGTTTCGTATTCTGTCCGTCTTTTTGTCGTCCTTTGATATATAAATTCACCAACATACCTATTTTGGTGAGTCTGATCTTGTGTAAAATGTTGATAAATATCAATTTGTAGTTTTTCCACTCGCAGCAGAGTTCTCTGCAGAACTGCTGCCCAACTGTAATTAAACTTCATCCTTACACCCAGTAGATCGATTTACTTATCTCCCTCTAACAAGAACAACAAGCGTTATTTACATTTCGAAAGATTTGTACATTTGTAAAGACAATTTAATCGAGTAGACTTAGAGTCAAAGTGATAAGATTACACTGTTTCAAATCAAGCTTAGTGAAGACTATTAAATCAAGGTAGTTTTAATTGAACATTTTATAACCGAAATGCAAAAGCAAGTGACTTTTTTCCTACGTTATTTCAGGCCAAAAGTGGTTTATTTCGAGAGATATATAAAGGTCCATACTGCTTATCTCGTGTCAGACCTATGAGTAGCCAATCACAAGGCAGCTTCTTGACAGATCTGAAATCCAGTCCTTCACCAGCTCTTTTTCTGGGATTCTTTGGAGCAGTTCCATTCACTGGCCTGGCTGGGATGTCCATTTTCCTTCCTGAACATATGGAACTCATAGTGCATGCTCAGCAAGCTTATGGAGCATGCATTCTCTCCTTTCTTGGGGCAATACACTGGGGCTATGCATTGGCCAAAAACAGTGGTCTGAAGCCTGACTGGAGTACTCTTGGATACAGTGTAACTCCATCACTTATTGCATGGACAGCTTTGCTTGTTAATCCACTTCCAGGATTTGTTACCTTGTGTGTTGGACTTGCCTTTGCTTTATCTAAGGATCTGAAAACACCTCACTTCCCAGTTTGGTATTATTCTTTGAGAAAAGCATTGACGACATTGGCTGTTGGTTCTGTTGCCTTAACGGCAGCTGTGTTTTATTTCCACTAGCTTAACCTGTTGGTCATTTCACTCTTGAAGACTACAGCTGTAGCACCATGTTGGAATATACTGCACCCCCCCCCCCCCCCCCCCCCCCCCCCCCTTTTGGGGGGCAATTGGAAAAAAAAAATTTTTCAACCAAAACCTGGGTTTAATTTTTTTTTTTTAATTTAAAAAAAAAAAGATTTGTTTGGGTGTTTAAAATTAGTTTTTTTAAAGAAGTTTTTTTTATTTTTTTTTTTGGGAAAGTGTAAAAAAAAAAAACATTTAAAAAAGAGTTAAAAAAAAAAA